TAGAAAAAGAAAATGTTCTAAAATTAATTGGGATAATGACTGTACAAATCTTCTTGATATGATTAAATTAGTGAATTGTATGATATGTGGAATATATGCCAATAAACTGTTAAAAAAAGAAAAGAAAGAAATGGATAATATCAAATCTAGCTTCTTCTATCTTAAATTTGAGTAAAGCCTAGAGATGCTAGCAGTTTGCCAAAGATTAAAGGGCAGATTAGTTCTAGAATGCAGAATGGAGACAAAGAACCTCCACACTGAATGTGTTGCTCTATTTTTGTGTGCCATAGAATGTACTAGATTGTTGAAAGTAATGCCAGGAACTAATTGGCATTAAGGTACATAAAGCAATTAACCAACAGTATAAAGAGGCACAACAAGAATTGGGGTAGACCCAAATAGAGCAGCCAGTCCACAGAGAGGACCACATGGCCAGCCCCACTATGAGACGTGATGCCCCTCACTGACGCATGGCCCTGCGGGGGACAACAAGAAAAGTAGCAAGTGTGGGAATTGCACCTGATCTGACCCCGCCACACTGAGGCAAAGCACTGGGGGAGTGCAGTGGAACAGCAGGGGAGGGGAGTAGTAAGATCCCCAAGGAATGATGAGGTTGGACATTGGAGACAGGGCATGGTGCCCCAACAGGCTAGACTGGAAAACACAAGCTTTTCTTTCATGGCATATTTTAATTTGTTCTTTGTCAGTGGCTTGATGTTGTTGCTGTTTTGTTGTACATTGTTGCTGGGTTTTTCTCTGTCTTGTTTTTGTGCATGTTGTTGTCTCCACAGGCCTGTCTGGATAGGACAGGCTGGATGAACAATCTGGAGGAGAAAACAACGGGACTGACAGTTCTGGAAGGACATGGGAGATGGGGAGGTGGGGGGAAGAGAAGAGGTGTTAACAAACCCAGAGACAAGGGAACAATGAGCAATCCAAATTGGTGGGGAGGTGGGTGTGGGAAACCTGGTAGTGCATGATCAAGGGGAACGTAACAAAGAGGAAGTGCTGAAATCCTGGTGGGGACTGAGCATGATAGTGGGACAGGAGGAGAATCAA